CACGATTTCGCACGATCTCCATTTTTTTTTTCTTTTTCTCTTCGTTTTAGACCGATCAAAGAAAAAGAGTGCATGACCAGTGGTGTGTGCCGAAGCATAACACACTGGCAGCCCTCGGAGGCATTACTACTTCGTTACGCTCGTGTATTTTTCCGAAACCTTATTCCCGTATTGTACCAGTGCTGCCTCGACTGAAAAATTAACGACATCGTATCCACGTAATTAATTAACTCACCGAGTCAATCCGAAAGACGTACTTTATCCAATCTCGCTTACAAAGAGCCTTCAAACGAACGTATTGTAAAATTGACGAAACAGTATTAGAACGACTAATTTTTACTGGAGAATTTCGATTAGCAAATCCTGTACACAGCTTTACCGAGTTCTAATCGTTCTTTTTAATGCTGTATGACTGCTTCTGTATTGAACAGGACATCATAAACGGGAGAACAGAATTTCTACAGACAAAAACGAGCCAAAAATGTAGAATAAAGTTTTTTAGTACGAGGCTTCCTTTTTGAGAAAAGTGAACTCGAACATTTCTTTACAGGTAGACGTGCACCAAGTTTCGACTGGATAGAGCTTCGAACGGATAAAGCAATTATTTGCTCGCTATTATATTTCTAATGTAATAATTGGTATCTTTCGATTTACGACTAAGGATGTATAATTAAAATACATCGCAGAATTGAACATTTATTCGGTTAGTTTATAAACTGTTGGAAATGATGTCTGTTTTGCTGTAAGTAAAGCTGCAACTTCGTATTAAAATTGCGCGCAGAAGCGATAATAACAAAATTACCTTTTCAAAGCTACCAAATACAGATAGCGATCGAACGCTTTGCGCTGCCTGGTCGAAACTTAATTAGGTAAACACACGTGTATTAGATAAATATTCAAATCAAACTTCCTCAAAAACGAAACTCTATATCAGAAAATTTTATTCTATATTTTTTATTCAATTTTGCATGAATTGGGCTGTTCGGAAAATTCGTAACGAAATTTAAACCGTCGTATCTCTGTTTCTAATTGACACAGCGATAAAAGTTGAATTTTTCGTGCTCCATTTTTAACGCTCGTTTTTAAATTTTTTAATTTAAATTTCGTGAATTTTTAACGCTCCACCGCGGAAAATATAGTTCGCTTTTGGGAGTAATTTTAGGGGTACATTGGATTTATCTTCAAATAACGAGTAAAATACCTTCTGGTTTTTCTCGCTACCTCGATTAGAAACAGAGATACGTTAGTTTGAATTTTTCTTACATTTCGCTACGAACTTTCCGAACCACCCAATAGAATAACTCCATTGCAGTAAAAATATTTAAAAAAATCAGAAACGTCACAAATAAATTTTATCATTATGCAAAATACTGACAAAATTTCTATTCTCGAAATGATAAAGCAAGTTCTAGGATTTCCGAAATGGGTGAAACGAAAACCCTGTAAAAAGGATGTCTCTGAACGATAGGTATTTAGTTCCGCTGTGTGCGGAATAGAGACCGGAAGACGGATACGAAAACAACGAGATCGAAAAATTGCGGTGAACAGAGGGTTGAAATGTCCTCTTGCCTGTCGTTCTTTTAACTTCCTGGTTCGCTCGAGGACCACCCCCCGCAGCTCTAGCGGATTCTCCTGTCCGATTGCCGGCCACAAAGCTATGCAAATTGTCCGGCAATTCGGCGCAGTAAACAACATTGTTCGCACGGCCAGGTAAACGGACCGCGAGACTACTGTGCACCCGAATTTCGTAACCGAATCTAATTTCAGAGCAAACACCCTTTACGAAAACTCGCCCGGTGTGCACGCTTTAAAACGTTTGTTGCGCTTCCGCCTTCGTACGATGACCAATCTTTTGGGAAAATAGGTGTGTACGAGGGAAACGGTTGAAACGACAGACTGAGAAAGCATTTTTAATATTAGGTCATCCCATAAGCGAGAAATAAGAAAAGCTTTTGTCTAAAATTAATTTTTCTAAAATATAAAGGTTCCTTGAAAATATTGATCTAGATTATAAAATTCGACACGAACTTATTGGGTGACTTAATATAGCGACAGTCTATGAATTCACGTGCAGAGTATAAATGTAGACTTTCGCGAACTCGATATTTAAGAAAATACTTTAGTATAACAAATTTTTTATATTTCATTGTAGACGTTGCTTTAAAAATATGTAGACATATAAAAAAGTAAATGACTACACTTGGTGTGTAAGAATTTCCAACAGAAGTTCAAGTAGAGTGGTTCTACAGGGTGGGCCATGTAAAACAGGCCATCTAATAATCTTCTCTATAAAAATAAGTAACTTAAGCCACTCTCATAATCACCGGCATAATAGAAATTGATCTTTCAAAATATGGTACGGAACGCTGCAATACATTCGTCGATAATCGATAAACTAAATACACAAGCATTAACAAAAGGCCGTAATTTCTTCAACAGTTTATCACTTGTTTTAATATATAGAAGATTACCTTACACTCCATTCATTACCCAGATAGCACACGACTTAGAAATGTTCATTTTACATCTATTTTTGGTCCGAACGTCTTACGACCTGAACTGGACGACTTGAAGACGTACGAATTAGTACGTTCTAACAACGTGTAAAAATGATGTCTTTATGACATTTTTAAAACATTTCTAAAGCCAGCATAGTGCTTCGCCGCGCCACGATTCAAAGCATCTTAATTTGTATAACACTGGACGTTGTTCGAACATCTTTTGAACATATTTACACTCTTACTTGATGTCTTTATAAATGTACTGAGAGAAATAAGAGAACAAAAGAAACAGCTTGATTTTTACAAAGCTGGAAACGAGCTTGTACGTTGACAAAATTATGTCAGATGTATCTTATTTTAGCTGAAAATTGTTGTATTGTAATCGTCGAAACATTGCAGTCCTAACATAATAACTTGTACAAGAAGGTATAATTTTTCACGTCGCTAATAACTCATACAATTCAAGTAACGAGAAAAAACGAAGTTCCAGCGGAAAAGTGTGTGGAAATATTTTTCACAGTCGCTTTAAAACTATACATACAGTACCGATCAAAAATTTGAGGCCACTTATCGATATTAAACCTATTTCCAATTTCTTATAAATTTGAAATTAATGCTGCAGGAATCATTTCGCTAAATTCGAGCAACAAAGAATTCGTTAAAAAGTCCTTAAAGTCGCTAACTGTTCTCTGAAAATTCTTGCAATGCATAGTGGTCCCGAAACTTTTTACCGGTAGCATAATATATATCACGTTCATAATTACCCCCGTCGCACATATCCGAAGTGCACGGCGCTCTTCGCTCTGTAACAATGTCTCGCTCTGAATCTCGCTTATATTGAAGGATAAAAGGTGATTTTACTCTCTAACGTGCAACCTGCGTTCTACACGTATATTTGAAGCACACGTTCGCCTCCGCCGTGGCAGATACCCTGAAGTGATCCAGGCCAGTGTGCCAGCGCAATTCGTGGAGTGCGAGATGAAAGAAAAAAGAAAAACGCACGTATCATGTCTTCGAAGAGCAAGTAGATTCCTTAATCTCCCTACCTTCCGGTTGATGGCAGCCATGCCGAAGCTCGTCACAGTCCGTAGACCGGCCTAACCGGCCTAACTCAACGATTCACCTGGTCGAGACGGAAAAACGAATCCTCTTCACTTTTACCACGAAACACATTGAAAAGCGCGAGCTGCTCGAACTGCTGCTTTTCGTATTTGCGGACTATACGCTTCTAGAATGTATACATACGTGACTTTTTGCCTTGGACGCATATTCGCAATGACCGCACGATTACTCACACTCCTCCGAGAGAATAATTTCTGGACACCTCTGGAACAGTTCTAGGTTTACTTAAAAAAAAAAAAGAAGAAAGGAAATTCGAAAAGCACCGTTAATGTTACTTTGCCAAATTTTGACAAATATTGAACATGAGCATTTTGATTTTAATTTGAACTATGACCACAATTTCAAATCTTTGGAGAAAGATAAGGTAATTCCAAAAGAACCAATTTAATACATTAGGAGTGCTGATACAGTAGCGTTGCTGTAAAAAATAATTCCTAAAGGAATATAAATTAAAATTGCATTATTTGAAAAAAAATTTACGACGGATACGAATACCTGCTGTTGTATGTACATTGCGCCAATAATTTGATTTGAACCTCTGATACGACACTTATCATCATCCTAATTGTACACCTTGGTTCGTTGTTTTGCTTTCTCTTTCGGGAGTGGCATGCTCTAGTTCGCTTGGCCACGAAACCGTCCATCTGTCAGTACGGTACACGTCCTCTGGTTCGTATTTCTCGACTTCAATTTTGTGCGATTCAGGCGTAAAGTATACTAAACTAAATCGCTCGGAAGCCAAGTAGATCGTTAAATGAATCAAACTGAGGATCTCAAAAACAATAATATATTTTGTACTTTTACGACAAGCAAATATGTACAGATATACATATATAAATTATTTTTTAGAAGTATGTACAATGATGTAAATGATTATAAATATGCATACACATAAACTTTTTATATATAATGCATAATAACAGGCAAAAAGACATCTTATCACTTATATAGCTTCAAAAATAGCATTTTACTTTGTACATTCACCCTAATAATTTCAACTAGATAAATCTTAATAAAAAAATAGAATTTTGTCATGTGCGTCTTATGTTACATAATAAATTAAGTATAATTAAATACCTTACCATATATTACATATTATTAAAAATAAATCTACTCCATAATAATTTCATTACAAAATACCTTCAACAATGTTAAAGCGGTCTATTTTGTGCTAACACGTTTGTAACATAAATTTTAATAAAAATTCATTACTTTCAAATCCAGGTACACTGCATGGTCTTCAAGTAAACGAATATCTTTAAATTATTCGTATACTTAAATATTTTCAGAGATTCAGCGAATCAAAATTATTCAGTCTTGAAGTTCTTATTCAGACCTCTTATTTATGGAAATGACATCGTTATAATTCTGAACGATTTAAGAATAATATTTTCTAACTTCTGCGAGCAAAAATTCTTCGGTCAATTCGTTTATTTCTATGAATCTTTTATTGGCCCGACTAAAATAATAAATATCACCGGTATAAATATCGAACCACAGAGCGTGAATGTGTAAGTCGTGCCTTTCGAGCCGTTTTTTTAAAAACCCATAAGAAGCTATGTTTTGTAGTTGTTGTAGAGTATTTACCTGAAAATAAAATAATTTGAAATTACAATAACTATAAACATTATCACGATCGAGTGAATAAAAAACTGGTTCGATTCTTAACAAGAATTGCACATTTGCGGTGGTTTAAAATTGAATCAGTGTACACTTATACTAACTTGAGACAATTTGTCCTCTATGGCAAATTTATTTTCGGGGTCGATATAAGCCACAAACTTTCGCAATGGCGTTTCAGCTTGAAAAAGTATCGGCTCGTGAAAGCCAGTAATTTCAAGCTGTTGAAACTTGGCTAAACTGCTGCTAGCATGCGCACACAACCATGCTCTTAATGGTGATATCCTCCTGTTCACCTAAAAATTAGACGTGATTATAAATTCAGAAAATAAATTCGAAAAATAATAAAACCAATTAAATACGTACTTTTGATGCAAATTCTTCGTCGCGTAGAGCGTACAATAAATTCATAGCTTTGCAATCGCTATGACCGCAAACTATAATGTGCCTTATGTCGTTCATTACACAACCAAGTTCTAAGGCCGCAGGTTCACACATCGTCAACTCGTCAACGAAATGCTGAGAATGAGGAATCATATTGCCAGCATTTCTCACTGAAATATTTAATAAATACAATTATGATATTTTAATTTAACCACTCTTAAATCCAACATTTATTTCAAAAATTATTAACACGACATTTATCGTTTATTCGGCTAAATATGTTAAAAACGAAATACTTATTTTGGATAAAAAATTATTTTTTAAATATATTTGAAATATTACAGTAATGTTTAACTTCATGACAGTATATTATATTGTAACATAAAAGTGTTAAAAAATAAATTTCACATTGAAAAGTATAACGTCAGGGTGAAGTCTCGTACCGACAAACATGTCCCCAACGTTTGTTTCCGTAAATCTAGTTGGGATCATCCGGGAGTCCATGCAGGTAAAGAATACTGCTTTTGGCTGTGATAAAAGTAACGACAAAGTCAATATCGGTAGTAAGTGTTAGTATTGCACTGTATATTAATGATGTAATAATCTTTTAAATCGTTTTATATGGTAGGTATTCTTGATACAATTGATATGTGCGAGTGGGTTTTCATCCTTGATTTATATATGTACATAATTTTCACGCATGACAATAATAATTTCTAAATAAACGGAAACTTTTCTCATAACAGCAAATTTTAACAGTAACAAATATATTACAAAAATATTTCAATATTAACATTATACGCGTTAGTGTAATTTGTAATAATGATAAACAACGTATAATCTTTATTGATCACGTAGTAAAACTAATTCGGCACGTGTTTTGACGAGATTCAAAACCATGTGTATATTGATATGTTTCTCTTATCAATGATTCTTTAATTGAAGGACACACATACATGGTACAAGGGCATAGAAACTTGTTTTTCTATTCAAACGTTACAAAAGTATACACACAAAACACTTGTTTTAATTAAACATTAACAAAATTAATTAAACATTGAATCTTCTCATTATATTTTTCATTTAATTTTTATACAAAAACAATGATTATTATTATATTCAATTCGATTTCTATTCGAAATGTTAATGTACTATGACGTACAAAATCATAATGAGAAAATATACATACCTATGAATCACCAACAATTAATTAAACAAAAGAATGTTAACATACCTCGGGATGATCTCGAACTTTTTGAAATTGTTTCACCATTTCTTCTCTATGGCATTTTCTATATTTTATTATTCCCTTAATTATCCTATCCATAGTAAACTTTATGGATACTTCGACACGTTTTGTCAACCTAAAGTGATGACAATGCACGAATCTATGACTACTGGGCGAATGGCGGTAATTTTAAATATACTTGAAAACTAAACATTGTATTTACTATGATTTGAATATACATATTGCTCAACTTACCTTTTGGTTCTTTTAAGGAGAACAATAAAAATAAATTTATTTTTACGCTTTTATTTGCAATTACTTATGAAAGCATTCAAATGCTTGCATCATAAATTATTAACAAAGGAATACATGCTTTAGATTCAAGATTTTAAAATGATACTGTAGCTATAGTAATAAATCTTGAGAATATTTGGATACAATTAAAAACAATTTATATGGAATTGATAAAACATTCAGTGTAAACACATCCCTTACAGAAGTCACAAAAATACTTTAATATACAAATTTTTTTATTATTCGGTGTAATTATTATTAAATTTGGTACAGTGTTTATACTTTTTTCTTCTACGTATCTAAATATTTTTGTGACTTTTGTGAAAGATGTTTACAATCAATGCCTTAATTCTACCAATTTTGTATATATTACCACATTTCCTTCTAACTTTAATCCCATATCCTCAAGATTCACATCTTACTGTAATCATAGTATTTTTCAAAAAATTTTAAATCAAAATGTTTCATTTGTTTGTAACTTAAAATGCAAACATCCAAATACTTTTGTAAACATATACACAAAAAAATAAAATGTAGTGCCAATAGTGCTAGTACATGTTTAAGCAAAAATTTTTATTATTCCGTATTTTTTCTATTGTTGTTACTAAATACAGCTATAAATAAAATCATACTAGTTAATATTTGCTTTTTTTCTGTGTCAAAAGATATCAATCAAAATTCTGTACAAAATATAACATATTATTTAACATTATCATTATTTAAATTGAAAGATACAATCACTATCAATTAGCTTGTTCTTGTTTCAGTTGTATGGTTATTATAATTATGTACAATTATATTAAGTGAATATAATGTAGGAAAATATGTATGTATCTTCATAACAGGCCAGAATACCTCCTATACAGAAATAAAATACATAATAACATAGAACCAGGAAAAGTTTAGCCCAGAAAACCATGTACTATCTAAGATCCAAGAGAATATTTACTATGAGGTAACAACAATACATGTTCACTTAATGTGATATCCATAGCACATAATTTCATATTAGCAGGTATTTATTTGTTATATTCATTTATTAGCAGACACACTGGTCAAAAGTTTTGTGTATCTTTTCAAATTTTATGTAAAATAAACTACAAATAATTTGGAATAATCTTTTCTGGAAAATAATACAAATCTCTCTGAAAATGATACTGTCCATAATGGTTTTGTCAGAATATACCATATTGAAATTATTAATTTATTAGCAAAATTATGGATTTACTGTAATTAGTAAAAAAAGAAAGTTCCCATGCACTTTCATTTTGATGATTTTCTTTGAAAGTGACTCTTAGATTTAATAGTAATTTATAGCCTGGACCCGGGTGACAACACGCCTGGGTCGAGCTGATTTCTATCTACTTAATGCCGAGCTTTGGCTAGCACGTTCTAGTTTTTCAAAATGCTTTCGTGCATTACGAATGTTGATTAATGTTGCTGCTGACGCTGAAATAATACGAGAAAATATTGTAATATCTATTACAAGAGAACTTCAAACTACAAATACTTACGAATAGCAGGATCCGACATGATAACCATTACATATGTATTTGATGTAAATACATCAATAAAAGCAGCAAAATTTGTATTTCTAACTTCCATACTTTGAAATTGTGCTGCCAGTTTGCTAAAAATGTGATTGACAAATATACTTTCAAGTAATTGCTGTTTGTTGATTTGTTTCTTAGAACTTACCTGCAACTCAATTTGAATTGTTTTATTATATTAGAAACTTTTTCAAATCGATGTACATCTCTATGATGCTGCCTTTGACAATAACTAATCACTAAAAATGTTGCTCTTTCAAACAGAAGTACTTCATCAGCATCAATAATGTTTGTAAATTGTTTCAAACTTTGTTCAAGTTCTTTCACATTAGGAATTAACATATATACAATTGAAGACCATGCTCTAAGTACAACAATTTATGTGAAATCATCAAATACAATTATGTAATTATAAAACCATACCTATATAATGTTTCATCCCATATGCTAGTCCTGAAACATGTGCATTCAAGTGGTAAGCTAAGTCTTTTCAGATCTTCTTCTCTTTCTCTAAATATCACATCTCGTTGATCTTCTTGCACTAAATCCATTTTATGTACTAAGCAGAATATTTTTGCTTCTGGACTGTTTTGTAATATTGCTTCTAAGCAACTTTGATAATAATGCATATCCTTATCTAATTCCCTTGATTCTACATCAAAAACATAGATCAGAACTTCAACATTTCTAAATATATTGTCACGCTGAGATGCAAAATAATTTTCCATAAATGCTTCTTGGCCACCACAATCCCAAAGGTTTAGCACCAAATTACCAAGGAATCGAACATGACTATGTTCTACATCAACTGTTAAACATACCAGCAATTTAGTAATTCATTCAAAAAAAAATATTTGATAAAACAGTATCATTCAAATATTACACACTTGTTGCTCCCAAGCGACGAGTGTCACGAGCAATATAATTAGCAAAAATTATGCTACGCATACTTGTCTTTCCTGAACCACTTTTACCCATTAACAAAACCTAAAAAAATTCAATGTTGTGTACAAAACTTATGCAAAATTTATATTGACAAATTGAATAATTCAATGTAAAGAATTACAATTTTATATAATATGACAATAGTATACCTTCTTTTTCATTTTGAACTGATAATATCGAACTTAAGGTTCAATTAAAACTGAATTAAGTAATTCTTTGTAACAAACAGTCGATCGACTGTTGAAACAGTCAATCTTCTTTTCCTGAAACAAATCATCAAATATATGATATAGTCGTACAATCAAACAACTTCCAGTATGTTCATGATGACAGTTTATCATGTACATACGTCAAATACGTGGTCAAATGTCAAATTTCATATCGAGGTTATTCTATACCATTTGAAGAATCGCAATATAGTATAACTTTATGACATACAATAGAAACACTCCAGTCTTTTTGTTGATTAATAAACGATATCAGGTATAATTTACAAACATCTCATAGAATAAAAAACATTTGTTATTCTAAACGAAAATAGAGATTATTTTTATAGTAAACAGTCTTATGATATGAAACTTACGATTACCCTTTACTTTCTTGTTGTGTGACTAACAACTTCTAATAGCTAACTTCACACATGTTGTCATGACTCAAACGCTATTAAGATAAGATATTGAAGGAATACCTTGGTTACTCAAATTATATCAAATGTGTACAAAAACGAAACGTCTTTTATGTATATATATACATATGTACATATATACCGAGTGAGTCATATTACTTGTTCACCCCGAATAACTTCTAAAGTATACGTTTTTCAAAAAAGTGTATTATATAGAAATCGCACAGTATCGACGGGAACATATAATGCTGAAACGGTTTTTTTAAATAACCTACTTGTTTACGAAATATCAAGGTGACCTTAAATTTTTTAAATGGAATGCATATCATTTTGTATTACAATTCAAAAGAGCAGTGAATTTTCTGTAAAAAGGAATTAAGCTTCATATATCCTAAACCTAATAATTAACAAGGTATTTGCAAAATCGTTGTTCATGGTCTTACTTTTACTTTAATAGGTATCGAAAATGATACCCATTAACTTCCTGTACAGGTATACACCTGTACAATCTGTTAATTAAAGACAGAAATTGGCCATTTTTTTATAATTTCATAGCTGGATTTTAATTTTTTTTACGAATAATCGTATAAATTATAGAAAATTCATACGCATTCCATTTAAAAAATTTAAGGCCACCTTGATATCTCGTAAACAAATAGGTTATTTAAAAAAACCGTTTCAGCATCATATGTTTCCTTATATACCATGTAATTTCTATATAAAATACTTTTTTGTAGAACACATGCTTTAGAAGTTATTTGGGGTAGACAAGTTATGTGACTCACACTGTGTGTGTGTTTGTGTATATACATATATATCTTTTAAATTCAAAGGAATAGAAGCATTGGCATAAGATTAATATTGTAACTAAGATATTTCAATTATAATATATTGAAATTAGTTTTTAATATCTTATTAACATGACAATAATTAAAGAATGAAAATAAAATTTAAACATTGTACAATTAAGATCAAAATGTTGAAAAATCATGATACACAAAAAAAATACAGAAAGAGGAAGAACAATAAAAAAACTCTTAAAAGACAATGGAAAATGTATTTTGATATATGAAACTAAAATAAATTAGTCATATTATACAAACATTTTGTATTTAATTAAAAATATTTATTTCTTGATTTATACCTGTAACTACATTTAACAGAATTACATATAACATAGTATAATTTATCTTTATTAAAAGGATTGATGATTTGATACATGAATATTACTTTATTTTACTTCAATTTGTATAAATGCAATGTAATTGTGTTATTATACTTTAAATGTACAAATTACTACATAAGCAAAATGATTCATATTGAAAAAGAAACATTTGATATTTACTAGTAATATTTATAATGCTAGAACAT